ATGGTCAGTGCTCATGGTCACTGCTTACAGTGAGTGCTGATGGTCACTGCTCACGATCACTGCTGACGGTCAGTGCTGACAGTCACTGCCCATGGTCAGTGCTCACCATCTGCTTCCTAAAGGCAGGAACTTGGAACCCCCGGCTTTTCTCCTGCACAGGGGCATCATCAGCAGGACTACCTGACGGCCGGCGGGGGGCTCGGAACAGCGTAGACCGGGATGTGGTTTGATTTCCTTAGAACATTTTCCAGGAGTGAGAGTGGGCTGAAGGCACAGCAGCATATCACCCTGTTGTGTTGCATATGCAAGAGGTTGTTAAACAGTATTCATGTGGTTCAAGAAATGTTACACGCTCAAGGCAGCATCCCCTGCACACCTTTGTCCCAGCTCCACACCTAACCAGGGTTATTTATCTACTTGAGATTTTTCCAGGGTTTCCCTTCCTCTGTTTTACACAAAAAGTACCACTGTGTCTGTATTGCTCCATGCCTTGCTCTCTTTTCAAAATTCACGGTGAAATAGACGCCACATAAGATTTAGGGTTATGAGGAAGAATATGGCGTCAGTCAGGAAGACTCATCAATGAGCTGTGATATGCAGGTGGCACAGCCCTGCTTGCTGAGACTGAGGAGGGCCTGAAGTGCTTGCTGCAGAAAGTCAAAGACTGGAGTCTTCAATCTGCATTTATTCAAGAAAACAAAGATTCTCACCACTGAGCCAATTGGCAGCACCATAAAAGGTGAAGAAGAGATTGAGGTTGTTAATTTCAGCTTGCTCAACTCCTCAGTCAACACTCTTGCAACCAACGGTCAGGAAATCAAAAGATTAATTGCACTGGGAAAAGCTGTTGTCAGGGACTTCTCCAGAGTACTGAGAAGCAGCAATGTCAGTGTAGAGAATAAGGTGCACCTGACTCAGGCCATGGTCTTTGCAGTTACATACTGTGCATCAGAGAGCTGGACAATGACTGAGGAGGAGAGTAGAACAATTGATGCCTTTGAATTTTGCTGCTGGAGAAGAGTCTAGAACATACCATGGACCTCCAAGAAAACAAATAGATCTGTCTTGGAGAGGGTGAAACCAAGTTTCTCCTTGGAGGCTAGGATTTTGAAGCTCTGTCTCACAAACTTTGGGCTCATGGCCAGGAAGAACCAGTCCTTGGAGAAGGACACCATGCTCGGAAGGGTGGAAGGACAGCTCAGGAGAGGAAGACCCTGGATGAGCTGGATTGATACAGTAACTGGGGCAATGGGAGTAGGTGTGTCAGAGTCTGAGACTGGCTCAGGACAGGGCAGGCTTCACAGCTGTTGGGGTCAGTATGTATAAGTCGCAGGCAACTTGATGGCACATAGCAGTAGTGCATTCATAGTGTTGTACAGCCATCACCACTGTCTAGTTCCAGAACATTCCCATCACCCCAAGAGGAAATCCCATTTACGTTAAACAGTTGCTCCCCTTACCCCAGCCTCGCTTTACTTCTTTTTTCTTTAATCCCATCTTGGGGGTCTTACCCCGTCCATTGCTTCGGCCTCTGGCCGCTGGTCTCCTATTGCTGTTTCCCATCCTCCTTTGTCTCTTTCTGCTGTCAGAGACAGAAGCAAAGCTGCTGTGCGTCACTTTGCAAGTGTGTGGTTGTGCAGGTGTATCAGTTGCCGAGATTCCCAGAAACAGGGTTGCCGAGTGGGAAGGTGCCTGTGCTTGTGGTTTTGACAGATGTGGATGGTTTACCTTCCAGGCAGGTCATGTGGCTAGTGGGCCCACCAGCTCAGGTGGGACTGCTGGAGCCTCTGACATGGGCTGTATTCCCACCAGCCCCATGGGCGACTGGGCACTGGAGGTCTTCTTTGCGCTCCCTCCTGTCTGGAGCAGGGCTGCAGGCCTCCCGGTGCAGCGGGGCCTCCCTCCTGTCTGGAGCAGGGCTGCAGGCCTCCCCGTGCAGCGGCTGAGTCCCTGGGCTGCAGGCCTCCCGGTGCAGCGGCTGAGTCCCTGCCCGTGTCCCCGCAGAGCTGATGCAGACGGAGATGCACCATGTGCGCACACTCAAGATCATGCAGAAGGTGTACTCCCGGGCCCTGCACGAGGAGCTGCAGTTCAACAGCAAGGCCATCGGCCGCCTCTTCCCATGCCTGGACGACCTGCTGGACATACACGGCCACTTCCTCACGCGGCTCAAGGAGCGCCGCCAGGAGTCCCTGGAGGAGGGCAGTGACCGCAATTACATCATCCAGAAGATCGGGGACCTCCTGGTGCAGCAGGTGAGTGCACTGGTGTGGGGCCTGGGGTCCACCACCCCCAAGGCCCTCCAGGTCCTGGGCACTGCTGCCCGCGGAGGGGGTCCACAGCCCTTCAGGTCCTGAGCACTGCTGCCCACAGTGGGGGGTCCACAGCCCTCCAGGTCCTGGACACTGCTGCCCACGGTGGGGGGGTCCACAGCCCTCCAGGTTCTGGACACTGCTGCCCACGGTGGGGGGTCCACCACCCCCACGGCCCTCCAGGTCCTGGGCACTGCTGCCCATGAGGGGGGTCCACCACCCATATGTCCCTCTGGGTCCTGGTTATGCTGCCCACTAGAGCAAGGGTCCGGGGTGCACCACCCACACACCCATCTGGGTCCTGATTACACTGCCCACAGGAGCAGGGGTTTGGGGTGCACCACCCATACACCCCTCCAGGTCACGCTGGCCACAGGAGCAGGGATCTAGGGTGCACCTCCCACACCCCCTGGGTCCTGGTTGCGCTGCCTCAGGGGTGACACTGGCCCTGCCTGGGAGCAGCACGTGTCCACATAGTCACGCTCAGGCCCATTTCTGGAGCAGCAGCCCCTGCAGCAGGCCTGCGTGCTGTGTCTTGGCTGCTTGCTGCCGTGGATTTTCTGGTCTCTCCTGGCGTGTTTTTTACTTACTGCCTCAATGAATTAGAATTCATGAGAAAAATAAAACATCTGTTAAACGCACCAGCCTGTGGGCGCGGTAAAGGCCTCAGCGGAAAGCTGGCTCTGTGACCACTCTCACGTCCTGGGGTCCAGTGCCCTGTTCTGAACAGCGCGCCCCTGTGGGTGGGAACAGGAGCTGAATGCACTGAGTGTGGGGTTCAGCATGGGAGGGGCACAGCGAGCAGACGCCCTGGCCGCTCACCCCGCCCTTCCCACCCAGTTCTCCAGCGAGAGCGGAGAGAGGCTCAAGGAGAAGTACGGCGTCTTCTGCAGCAGCCACAACGAAGCCGTCGGCCACTACAAGGTGCTGATGCAGCAGAACAAGAAGTTCCAGAACCTCATCAAGGTAGCAGCTCGTGTCCTGGCTCGTGAGGAACTCACTCTCTGCTGTGGGGTTTTGCCTGTGGGACCTCGGGACAGTGGGATACAGCCGTGTTCAGTCATGTCTTCGCTCTGTTTGTTTGTCACCACGAGGCCTCTGTCATTAGAATCTTGCATAGAATCCTGAGGAAGAAAGCGGGTCCAGTGGTTTATTCTTCCCATGCCAAGGCGGCCCTGCTGTGGGGCCTGCTGACCGACACTGGGTCACCCAGGCTATTTGGTGACACACGTGGTCTGCCCAGTGACCTCACCATAGCATCTCACTCTCCCGAGCTGTTGAGCTCACTCTCACACATGACAGGGGTGGGTGGGAGTGTGTGTGTGAGAGAGAGATAGAGGACCATGCTCCACTGGACATCAGTGGTAGATTGAAACACTTTTCTTCCCAGATGTCTTTGCATGGCCTTGAACTACCAGCCTTCCAGTTAGTAGCAGAGAGCACAATCATTTGCACCACCCAGAGAGGGCTAGGATGCTGAGAAAGTTTCAGCAAAGCTTCCAGACTAAGGCAGACCAGGAAGAAAGGCCTGGTGATCTGCTTTAGAAAATCTTATTGTTGTAGTTATGTGCTGTCGTGTTACAGCTGACTCATAGCTGACCCCCCCCCAGTGGATTTTCAGAGGCAATAAATCGCAAGGAGGCGGGGGTGAGGGGGTGGAGGAGCGAGGAAATTGCCCACCTTTCTCCTGCAGAGCAGCTGGTAGATTTGAACCATGTCCCTTTGGGTTGGCAGCGTGACTCCTTACCACTAAGCCACTAGGGCTCCCTGAGAGAAATGAGACTCTGTGGACATAGTAGTCTGGCACTCACCGATCTTGGGGGTGCACCGGTGTGCGTGTGGTCAGTGATACCTAAGGGCAGCACGCTGGGGTCCTGCCGCCCAGCCTCTGTGTGGAGTGGGGTTTGTTCAGGAGCTGTGGCCTGAAGCCAAGAGCTCTGTGTTCTTTCTGTTTAGTTCGCGTACAGTCGCAGAGGGTGTATGTGAACACAGTCACTTTGGGGCTTATGCTCGTGGCCAAGGCACTGGCTACACCGGCTGCACCGTCTGACGCCTAGGGCAGGGCCTGAGTGGTGCGGAGGCCTGTGGTGCAGCTGGAGGGAGACAGGATCGCAGAGCTCCAGGCCACTCTCTGGCCTCTTGAGAACCAGCTCTTGGTGATTTAGGGCATTCCTCAAACACACGAGAGCAGGAACAGAAGAGCAGAATGTGTGGAATGTTCTGGAAAGTACAGGGAGTTGCTTCCAAACACTACCAGGAAGTGACTTCAGATACAGAGGCATTGGTTCTTAGCCAGAGGGGTAAGGGGCCTCAGAAGCCGGAAGGCACTCACCAGTGTATTCTGGAAGTTTCTAACAGCTGTTAGCCAGGGTTAGGTAAGGGGGGGGCGGGGGTTTGAGAGAGAAGTTAAAGAGCAGAGAAGGAGTGGGTGCATTTAGACAAATGTCAGCCAGGGTGGAGGGTGTGCATGTGTATCTTATTAGCCAGAGTGCACGGGGCGTGTGTGAGAAAGAGGTCAATTTCAACCACCGTTAGGTGAGTGTGTGTGTGTGTAAGAGAGGACAGGTGTTAGACAGTGAGGGGGAGGGGGGCTTGTTTATGTAGACAGATGTCAGCCATGCAGCCGTCAGGTGCTCGTCCCCATCTACAGCCTGCCGGCACCCCAGAGCAGAGAGAGGAAGGAGCCCCCACTGCAGGGACCGGTCATGACCAGTGTCCGGTGGTGGGATGTTAACGTGGCTGGTTTTCCCCCACTTTCCAGAAAATCGGCAGCTTCTCCATCGTGCGGCGGCTGGGTGTCCAGGAGTGCATCCTGCTGGTCACGCAGCGCATCACCAAGTACCCGGTGCTGGTGGAGCGCATCGTGCAGAACACGGAAGGTATGACACTGTCCCCCGCCGCCAGGGCAGCCCAGGCCGCCGACTCCCGTGTCAGCGGCAGCCTGGCCAGACCACCTCCTGCCCCTTCCAGCTTCCCCAGTGCAGCACGGCCCAGTGCAGAGTCTCCTGGTGCAGGGGGGCCTGATGCAGAGTCGCCCGGTGCAGGGGGGCCTGATGCAGAGTCGCCCGGTGCAGGGGGCCCTGGGGTGCAGGGTGGCCCAATGCTGGCTAATGGAACAGCTACAGCGCTGAACACCCTGGACAGCTCAGTGCTGGCTACTTGAGCCCCTGTCATGCTGAACACACTAGGTCTTACAGGGATCACAGGTGTGGTGGTCAGCAGGGGCCAGGTGTGGTGTGCCCACTGCCATCCCTTAGCCTCTACAGAGCCTTAAGTCATCATCAGCTGCTAACCAAAAGGATGGCTGTTCGGAACCAGCCAGCAGCTTCACAGGCTCCTAGCAAACCCCATGGGGCCCTTCCACCCTGTCACAGGGGGTCTTATCTGAGACAACAATCTTTAACCTCTCCCCAGCTGGACGGGACCAGACACTCAGTCCTGCTCCAGGGAGTGGATGAGCAGATGGATGGCCACTGCTGGGTGATCCTAACAGAGCTATGACCTCACTGTCATATGGAAGGGCTGTGCCCAGAGCCAGGCGAGGACACAGGGTGGGCTCACTGCCCAGCCCAGAGTCCAGGGTAGGAGTGCTGACCTCACCTCCCACGGCCCCGAGGGCCTGTGAGATGAGCAGAATCCCCCAGTCAGGGAGGAGCCAGCTCTTGGCCATGGCAGTATGTGGGGGAGCCCTCTGTGAGGGGCCGGAGGGCATGAGGAGCAGGCGCCCTGTGGGCCACGCCACACGGGGCAGTCTGTCACCTGACTCTCGCTCAGTTGTGTGGTACACAGAAGCTGTGTATCAGTGAAAACCAGGCGCAGGGCCATTGCGTTCCTCTCAGAAGCGTTCACGTTACTTCTCGGGAGGTGATAGGTGGAGGGTCGCTCTCGACGCCCCTCTGAGCAGTGGCCCCATCGAGCCTCACGCCCCCCGTGAATGTGTCCACTGACACTCGCAAAGAGAGACGTTAACTGTGTGTGTGGCAGCTGGCACCAAGGATTATGACGACCTGACGCAGGCCCTGAACCTCATCAAAGACGTCATCTCACAAGTGGACGCCAAGGTCAGCGAGTACGAGAAAGGCCAGCGCCTCCGCGAGATCGCCGGGAAGATCGACTTCAAGTCCTCCAGCAAGCTCAAGAACGGGCTGACCTTCCGCAAGGAGGACGTGCTGCAGCGCCAGCTGCACCTGGAGGGCACGCTGTGCTGGAAGTCCACGTCGGGGCGCCTCAAAGGTAAGCCCACCGCGCGGGTGCCGGCTGCCACTGCCGGGCTTCGTAGCTCCCGGGGCCCGTCTGGTATCAGTGGGCTCGGTTTGGTATATGGCGTCTTGGGTCCAGTGACCCCATCCATCATGTAAGCAGATGCGGGCTCCCTCCTGGGTTGATGGGCAGCATCTTCAATTGGTGGGTGCCCTCTTGGATCAGTAGGCACTGTCTTGGATCAGGGTACACTGTCTTGGCTAAGATGAGCCCCATCTTGGATTGGTGGGTGCCCTCTCGGATCAGTAGGCACTGTCTTGGATCAGGGTACACTGTCTTGGCTAAGATGAGCCCATCTTGGATTGGTGGGTGGCATCTCGGAACAGTAGGCACCAGACTGAATTAGTACGCTCCGTCGTAGACAGCCGAGCGCCATCTCAGGTTGGCAAGGGGCATCTTGGATCAGCAGCATTCGATTGGTGCTGTCTTGGGTTAGTGGCTGTGCAGGCTTCTCCTTGGATTGGTGGGTGGCCTCTCGGGTGAGTGCAATCTGGACCAGTAGGCACTGTCTCGTGTGAGTTAGCACCATCTTGAGAGGGCGGGCCCCCACATGAATCAACATCATCTTGAATGGGGGGTCTCCGTGATGAACTGGTGGACTCTCGAATGAGGGGACCCCGTCATGAACTGGCAGACTCTCGAATGAGGGGACCCCATCATGAACTGGCGGACTCTCGAATGAGGGGACCCCGTCATGAACTGGCGGACTCTCGAATGAGGGGACCCCGTCATGAACTGGCGGACTCCTGAATGAGGGGACCCCATCATGAATTGGGAGGCACTTGCTGACAGAGACCCTGCAGCCTTCCTGCTTCCCGGCAAGAGGAGGCCACATGCCGAGGCAGGAACAGCGCAGGCAGCCGGGGCTGTGGCAGGCACTCTTTGTCCGGTCTTGGGAAGGCACGAGCCAGGAACGCCCTTCAGCAAAGAGGTGCACTGAAGTGTTGGCTTTAAACAGAAAGCTGAGCCGTGAGCTTCACCACACCCCAGGTCTGGCGGAAGCCTTGAGGTCACAGCCAAGCTTAGCTGCAGTCCCTGCGCAGTCAGGTCCCTTTCCTCGGACCAGGAAGGACCCCTGTGTATGGAAAGCACCATCAGGGCCGCTGACTTCAGTGCCCCCAGGAGCCCACTCAGCATCACGCCGTGCACTGCCTTACAGACCCACGTCACCGTCCCAGGACTCACCCCCAGGGCTGTCACCTCTGGACGGGTCATAATGAGTCCCTTAAATACCCAGCTGCTGTAACCGAAATCCAGCGTGCTGTCCAAGGCAGCACCTCAACCCGAGATAACGTGCGCCAAGAGGACAGACGGTGGCTGTCACAAACAGAAGCTGCTTTTCTCCTAGTTGAGGAGTCTAGGGAAGGCTCCCTGTCTGTCCCGGTGGCGACCCTTGGCTCAGCCTTGCTCTTGACCCTGGCGCCCATGGGTCCTCCGTAGTAGTCATGTGGCCTCTGTCGCCCCCGTTCACGTTGCAGTCACTGCCCTTGGTCTTTGATCTCTCAGAGTGAGTGGGTTTAAGGCACCCCCTGTCCTGATAGGGTCTCATGGGCAAAACCAGCACAGACCCTGTTCCCGGATGGAGTCACATCCACGCAGAGAGCAGCTAGGATTTCAGCACGGGTGTCTGGGGAGGAGGAGGACACAAGACAGACCATACGCTCAGCTGCTTCTTAAATTGAGTGGGTGTGTGTTCAGCGAACTTAATACTTTCTTTGTGCCAGGAGGAGCTCTGGGAGCTTAGTGATGTACCGAGCTGCTAACCCAAAGGTTAACAGTTCAAAACCACCAGCTGCCCCATAAGAGGAAGGTGGGGAACCTCATCATATAAAGATGGACAGCCGTAAAGGGTCAACATTGGTCAGAACTAACTCGACGACAGGAGGGTGGGCTTGTCAGACCCCAGGGGAATGTGGGCATCATTTCAGATCAGCCTGTCACAGGAGAAAGAAAAATAAGCAATGAAAATGAATTGTTAGAAGTGCCGGTGATTAACAAAAGAAAGGGAGGCCAGGTATCTAATAAGGAAGGGGTGTCAGGAGAAGCCCCCCAAGAAAACAACGCACGTGTGTCCAGTAGGACATTTAGTTCAGGGCTTGCTTACCAAGCTGGGGGTTGGGGGTGCAGGCCTCCGGGATATGTTTTGACGGGGACACGGCCCCAAGCCCCTGCCACACAGGGACTTAGGGCTCGTGACGGACATGGGTCACCATGGGAGGAGGCAGGAGGCCCTCGGGCAGCTCAGGTCTAAGGTGGCCTGAAACAGAAACACAGAGTGTCAGTTCATGCTGGAGAAACCCGAGAGAGTGACCCAGAGATACCTGACCAGAGGATGTGGCTGGACCCAAGAAGGCCATCCAGGGGACACGTGGCTCTGAAGGGGTGTGACTCGAGGGTCGCGGGCCAGGCACTGACACAAGGCCGGTGCTGACCGGGCAGAGAGGAAGGAGGCCTCAGCGTCTCCAGTGTCCACAGTCTTCCCTCGGGGACGTGGTGGCTGGCCTGCTGGCCAGTCCCCACGTCAGGCCCACGAAGCCCCTGTGCTTGCCCCGCAGACATTCTCGCTGTCTTGCTGACCGATGTCCTGCTGCTGCTCCAGGAGAAGGACCAGAAGTACGTCTTTGCGTCCGTGGTGAGTTCCCGTCCCTCCCCGGGCTGCTCGTGGGACCTGGTGCCCCACAGCCAGCTGGTCAAGTAGAAGAGGAGGAGGGAGAGGGTGGCAGAGCAGGAGAGTGACCCATGTGTCGCAGGCCCGCCCAGGCCCAAGCATCCAGCTGGGCGAGAGCCAAGAACGAGGGTCCTGGCCGCCTTTCCTGTTGCCCTGTGTCTTTCTGATTCTTCCTGTCATGAGCACATACAGTTCTCATGGGCCAGGTTTCTTGCAGGAGCCTGTCCCTCTGTCCAGGGGGCTGCTGGCTCTGTCGTGAGGCCCTGGGCTTGATGCACCAGCCCGTGCACTGTGACCGGGGGACCCGGAGCCCACTGGGCATGTCTCACAGAAGCACGCCCCACCATACACAAACCCTGATAGAACCCAGCTCCCGGGGCCGCCGAGACCCTGCTTGCTTTCTGGGTCCACCTTGAGGGGAAGGCAGCCTCTCTGATGAAACTCATAGCTTTGGGGTTCAGTGATAAAGTGCCCCCTCCCATGTGGGGAACCCAGGTCCCATACCTGCCAGCGCACCTTCCTCACTCCCACCACCCATCTGTCAGCAGAGGCTGTGAGCTGTGGTGCTAACCAGCTTCAGCGGAGCCTCCACACTAAGGGAGACTAGACAGAAAGGCCTGACAATCAGTTTCTGAAAACCAGCCCATGGTCCCTGTGGGGCTCAAGGGTCTAATCCTCAGATCCTGAGTTGGTGCAGGACCCTCCTGGGCTCCCCACCTTATGCAAGAGGTACACACAGCGGGCCAGCCCATCTGCAGCCATTAGGAGAGTTGGGATCTTCCTCAGATGTGTCAAACAGCTTTTCTAGAAGTTTCCAGGTTTCCTGTACCCCCCACAAACTGGTTCATGCTGTCTGGTGGTCCAGTATCACATGCTGTCAGATCTGGACCTAGATGGATCAAGGTCTGTGCTATCAGCCCTGTGGAACCAGTCACTGGTTCACACGACCCACGCCCGACAGAGCAAAACGTTGCCCAGTCATGTGCCCTTTCCACGTCCGGCTGTGGTTTCCACGGTCTTATTTTCAGAAGGTGGCCAGGCCTTTATTCCTAGTTTGTCTTGGGCTGTAAGCTGCACTGAAAGCTGTTCAGAATCCTAGCAACAAGGCAAGCTGTCTTACATCTCCAGAGCTCCACCGCAGATGGCGTCAGCAATCAGAACTTCACCTCGTTCTCTCAGCTCAGGAGGCCAGAAGGCCCACTGCCGCCCTAGGGGCAGGCCCTCCCTCGCTCAGTTCTGGAGGCAGGCCCTCCCTCGCTCAGTTCTGGAGGCAGGCCCTCCCTCGCTCAGTTCTGGAGCCAGGCCCTCCCTCGCTCAGTTCTGGAGGCAGGCCCTGGTTTCCTTAAGCATCCACAGGCCTGGCACTCCCCAGACATTTTCTGTGTTTTGACCTTCCCATCGCCAGGACCTGGGTCCCTACAACTTGCTACGTTCCTCTCTTCTCTCCTGTCCCTACCAAGGTCCCCAGTCCTGCTGCCTTTCCGCCCCCTTTATGTCTGTGAGATAAAAGGCATTACAGGAAACACCCCAGAGAGTCTCTTACACGGTGTAAGGCTGCGATCAGATTGTTGTTAGTGCTGTCACATGTGACCCTTGGTGACCCTGTGAACAGACCTGACCCCTGTTCTATCCTGCACCATCATCATACTTCCTAATATACTGAGCCCATTGTGGCAGTCGCTGTGGCAGTCCACCTGGTTGAGGGTCTTCCTCTCTTCTGCTAACCCTCCACCTTTCCAAGCATGATGTCCCTCTCCAAGGATTAGCCTAGCAGCATGTTCACAGCTTTAGTCTGCTCGGCTCCACAATCAACACTCTTAGCGCCAGCAGCCAGGAAATTAAAAGACGTGTTACGATGGCAATGTTTGCTGTTAGGGACCTCTCCAAAGTACTGAAGAGTAAGGGTGTCTCTCTGGAGACGAAGGTTCGCCTGATACAGGCCATGGTCTTTGCAGTCACTTGTTATGCGTCAGAGAGTTGGACAATGACTAGGGAGGACAGAAGGAGAGTTGATGCCTTTGAGCTGTGGTGCTGGAGAAGAGTATTGAGGTTGCCATGGACTGCTAGGAAAACAAACAGATTCATCCTGGAGAGGGTTAAACCAGGCTGCTCCTTGGAGGCAAGGATTCTGAGGCTTCGTCTGACATACTTTGGTCATGTTGTAAGGAGGGACATCATGCTTGGGAGGGTGGAGGGATGGTGCAGGAGGGGAAGACCCTCTGAGATGGATTGATTCAGTGACGGGGGTAATCGGGATGGGTGTGTCAGAGGCAGTGCAATTGGCACAGGACAGAGCAGAGTTTAGGGCTGTTGTGCATAGGGTCTCTATGAGTCGCAAGCGACTTGACGGCACATAACAACAAGAACAGCAGCATGCTCTAAGTACATGAGACGGAGCTTTACCATCTCTGCCGTCAAGGATTAAGGGCGGTTTGGTCCACCCTTAACCCCCTCACAGCTGACTGGTTGATTAGATCACAGGGATCATTGCATAGCTTCCACATTACGGCATTACACACTTATATTTTGGGGGACACAGTTCAATCTGTGACACAGGCCTCCCTCCACTGACAGACAGGTGTGGCTGCATGTGAAATGCCCTGACCTGCAATCGAACTCTAGTCTCTTGTGTGGAAATCATCACAGCTGCTACCGCTCAGCCATCAATGACCACTGCCATCTCAATAGTCTCTTTTCCCCCAGCCCCTCATGGCGGAATGTGTCTGCCCTGCATGGACATAAGCAGGCTGTGGGTCTCGCACCTCCGCCTGAGATTCAGATGACCCTCTGTACCCCATTTGCCCACACAGGACTCGAAGCCACCCATCCTGTCCCTCCAGAAGCTCATCGTGCGCGAGGTGGCCAACAAGGAGAAAGCCATGTTCCTCATCAGCGCCTCGCTCCAGGGGCCTGAGATATACGAGATCTACACCTCCTCCAAGGACGAGCGCAACTCCTGGATGGATGAAATCCGCAGGGCTGTGGAGAGGTGGGCCGGCCGCCCTCACCCACCTCCGCTGGGCCAGCAAGGCCGAGGAAGGGCCAGCCGAGGCCTTGCTGGGTTCTCGGAGTCTCCCACTGACCCTGGCGGGCTGTCCCGCACCCCAGTCTGGGGCCAGGTCTGTCGGAGCAGGCCGTGTGCCCTGACTTTCCGACACCAGCCAGGCCAGCCCTCCCCATTCTTCCGGGTCCACCTGGCCAGCAGGCAGGACGGGGTGTCCAGCCACAGAGCTCAAGCAGCCTTTGTGCCCTATCCTCTTGTGGGAGGGTTCCCCAGATCTTGGCCTGCTCACAGCTCCCTTCCTGCCATCCCCAGACTGCCCCGGGCTGGGCTGGCAGCCTCTCCCTGGGCAGTTCCCCAGTGAATGGGCAGCCCGCTGGTCAGTGAATTTACTGGTCTATCCCTTTCTGTCGGCGTATTGATCCATCAGTCTGTCGACCCTCTGGTCCTCCGGTCCATGGTCCGTTGATACCTCACCTCAGTCCACTGCCCACTGTTCTATAAGCCCGTTGACCTACGGGCCCTCAAGCTCTTTGACCCATGCTCCATCTGTCCACATCCGCCCACCAGCCTTATCTTCCAAGGAGCCTGGCTGCTCCTGTCCTGACATGGTCAGTGCCCATGGCTGCCTACGTTGGAACTGAGCACACACTCGTGGGGCCACACGCCCCTCTCGTTTCCCCTGCTCTGTTGACAAGCTGACCCCTCACCACACCAAGGATGCCCTCACTCCTAGTTGTACTATTGATCCCCCAGCACGCATTCTCAGGGGTCGGGACCCGAGCGACATCCCCTTTGTATCGCCCTCTGCCCACAGCTGTTCAGGTATGGAAGAGGGATCCTTCAGCGAAGCCGATGAGGAAAGGAAGAGGATTGAGGCCCGGGCCATGAGGCTGAGGGATTTTCAAGGTAAGAGGATCAGCTGGGACCTCGGTGTCCACCCAGCCCTGGGCCACCTCCACCGAGCATGGCAGTGGGAGCAGGTGGGAGCTGAGCCCAGAGATGGGCACGTGTCTGTTCTGGGTTGGACTCTGCCTTGGATGGCACACCACCCCACTGGTGACACTCCGGCCAGCGCAGGCTGCCCCGTGCACGAAGCGCTGCCCAAAGCCAGGGTGTTTTCTGTGAGTGCTCAAGTCCAGGAGCTCAGGTGAGCATTTGGAGTGAGGCCGTGTGCAAGGCAAGGACCTTTCCAGAGGCTGCACGGGCCTCCTGGGCGCTGAGGGAGAGGGGATCGGGGGTTCAGAGCCCTGAGTCACACCCAAATCTGATAGTTGTCGCTGAGATCTGAAAGAGAAGGACGTCCACTCGGGATCAGGATCCCAGCTCACAGCTGCTGTGAGCGAGACCATCTCAGCCACCTTGACACAACATTGGCATCACCCACACAAGTGACTCGTCAGAGGGGCCCCCATTCGGTCAGGAGCCAGGCTCCACCCATCCTCACCACGGTGGTTTCTGTTCTGGAAGCGTTGGCCAGGCTAACAAGGACGAAACAGAAATCTGATAGGCTTCCTGGGCTGGAGATGACGATTATAATTTGCAGCCGAAGTCACTTGTCAGAAAATCCAGCAAGGACCCACTAAAGAATGATTGGAACTAGTGAGAGTTTAATCATTTAATTGAAAGCGTTGTATATTTACTAGCAACAAAGCACCAGCGTGTAAGAAAAGTAATTCCACTCAGCCGCAAATAGAAGTTATCTAAAAGGCCATTTAAAAAAAAAAAAAACTTAGAAATTGTTATTGACTCAACTTGGGCTCCTCGTGATTCCACAAATGGACGGGCCTGTCAGTGCTTCACATGGTTTCCAGGGGCTGGTTTTGGGAAGTAGGTTGCCAGCCCTTTCTTCTGAGTTGCTGTTGGGTGGACTCAAACCTGCATCCTTTAAGGGGAGCTCTGGTGGCCTAGTGGCAAGAAGCTGCACTGCAATCCCAGAGATACGTGGTTCGAATTCACCAGATTCTTTGCTGAAAAAGGCGGGGCCATCTCCTCCTGTACCAGTCAGATCCGATTTGACAGTGTACACACACACACAAACAAAATAATAAAAAAAAATTTTTTAAAATAAGCAACAAACCTGCAGCCTTTAGCGGAGCACGTTTGTCATTTGCTCCACGCAAGGCCTCTAACAGATCAGCCTCTTGTAAATTCTCAGGTGGCCCACTGTCTGGTTTTACAAGTTTAAAAAGAACCTGAGTCAGGCTGGCTGCTCACTGGGTTTCAGCTCACTGAGTTTCCTTTTCCCGGGGCTTTTGCAACAATGTATCACAGACTGGGTGATGCCTCCAAGGGAGATTGCCCCTCCCCACCCAGGGTTCCCTTGACTAACACATGCCTCCCTCAAAGCTGCACCTGGCTTTTGTCTTTTAAAGGACACTGCTTAAGTAGGATTAGGGCTCCCGATGCCTGACCCCACAGGAGGAGGGCCAGACCTCTGTGGGAGGGCCTGACTTGACAGAAGGGCCTGATTCCCCCTACTTGAGTGCCTGACCCCCACAGGAGGACCCAGCTCCCAGAGGAAGGCTGGATCCCCACAGGAGTGCCTGACCCCCATGGGAATGCCGGACCCCACAGGAGGAGGCCTCAACCTCTGTGGGAGGGCCCAGCCTCCACAGCAGTGTCTGACCCCCCCCCCTTACTTTAGAGCCTAACCCCCACAGGAGGGCCCAATCCACAAAGGAGAGACTGACCCCCACACGGGGCCCAGCATGCTGACTCTGCCTTGTT